GATCATTTGATCGATGTTAGGCAAAGGAAAAGAGTCCTTCGGACACGCCTTGTTTAGATCCTTATAATCTACACACATCCTAAATTTATTTCCTTTTTCAGGCACGTCTACTACGTTAGCTAACCAATCTGGGTATTTAATTTCCCGGATGGAACCTATTTTTAAAAGTTTAGATACCTCATCCTTGATGAATACGTGTTTGATCTCGGACTGTGGCCTTCTCTTCTGCTTAACCAGATGGAACTTTGGATCCAAGCTTCATTTGTGAGTTGTTACCTCCAGCGGAATCCCTATCATGTCTAGATGGGACTAGGTGAAACAATCGGCATTAAATTTAAGATAATCAATAAGTTTTTTCCTGAGCTCGAGGGTTAATATCGTGCCCAGGTATACCTTTCGATCCATTAGGTGCTCGATCAATACAACCTGCTCCAACTCCTCAATCATCGATTTGGTGGTGTTAGTGTCATCGGGCACTATGAAAGATCTCGGGACGCTGTAATTATCCTCATCGTCCGCTCCGTGCTCCTTCTATATTTACGGCTCGGTTGAGGCCGATATCATTGATTGCTATTTAGTTTCTTTTTCTTTGGTCGGTTCCCTGCTTTTCTGTAAGGCCCCGTTAAAATTTCCTAATGATTTAATAATTTTAAGCTACGCCAACAATATTTGGGAATAATGTGTTCGAGTATTAAAAGAGACCCATAGGATAGAACCACATCATTTTGAAATGTAAATATATTTTTAGGGTGTGTTGGAACATACTAAGGAGTTTTGTGAATGGCAAGAACTTATGTGGAACAAGTTGGATACATTAAGTGAAAAGGATGTCCTAATTTGCACAACATTCTACTTCAAACGCATGCTTATGCCAGACTATAAAGACTTAGGCAGTGATCTACCTATCAAATTATCTTTGAGTCTAGTTTCCAACGCATCAAACCGTTCGTCATTTGGAAATGTATACAAAAAGTTATGGCCATTTTACTGAACCTATGTCATATGCGCGGCTGCGCATATTTGGGAGTTTCTGCCTTGTGTGCGCGGCCACTTTCCCAGATGCACGGCCGCGCATGTAGGAGCCCATTAAATAACCCCAAGGCTGGGTAGAGAGAGGGTTTAAGTCATTTCTTGAGCTAAAACCTAATATTTTAGAGAGAAGTGAGAGTGTTCTAGAGAGAGGAAGTAGATGAAGTATTTTGTTCATCAAGATCTTGTTCAAGCCTTGAAATCCAACAAGAAAATCTCACAAGATCTTAACTCAAGACATTGGAATTGCTAGAATTTACGGAACATTGTAGTAATTTAAGGAAAGCTCAAAGTGAGGAATGTTGGCTAAACTCTTCTCTTAGAATTGAATCCCATGGTGTTCGTGTAATTTGTGTAAGTCCCAAATTGTTCATTATAACTATTCCGAATAAGCCTTGTGTTGAAAGGTATATGTTCAAAATGTGTTTCAGATGCTCTTATCATATGATGTTATCCTTCGGGAATGTGTTCGAAGCATGAGTTGGGTATAAAAATGTTATGACTCCAAGTAGTGTTTCAAGTGAAGGCTATTATGCCATTGTCTAAGAAGTCTCAACATGCATAAGACTCTTAATTGCTCATAGGTGTACTAAAAGTCGTGATTAGGGATTCCTTGTTGTCGATAATTTATAAAGATGCTTGAAAGTGAAAGTAGTGAGTTGGGGATATAAAGTGTGAGCACCGTGCCAAGAATAAAAGCTATACTTGTCGCCAATAGCGCCAATGAAATAAAATGATGTGTGAAATATTATGAAATGAGCCTTGATTCAACTATTCCAAATTGACTCTGAAAATAGAATCATCCAAAAGCTTATGTACTCAAGTCATGTCCAAATGTGGTTTTTATAACAAATGCTATACTTGGTAGGTATTTCCAATATGTTTTGAGTTCTTACATATTCATGAGTTGAGATTGTGTATTGCTCTTTTTGGGGAAATGTATTTCAAGAGTATTCTATATGATGATGTTTATGATGATAATCCTTGATAGTAAATAAATGAAAGTGTGGAATATGATATACGGCCACCGTGCCTTGAATGAAGAATAATATGTATGGCTAAGGGAGCCAATGAAATAATGATGTTGTGAGTAGTTGAAAGTAATTGTGAAGTAATATATAGTGTGAAAAGTTATGAGATGAACGTATTTGTGCTTATGTTTCCAATGTGTTATAAGCTCATACGCCCTCATGAGGAGAGGCTACGGTGTTCCTAAATATTTTAAATGTTCTTGATATCCTATGATCACCCATGGCAAGTACAAGTAAGTGATGCTATGAACATGAAATGTAGTCGTTTTCCAAAAAGAGAATTATGAGATGTTGTATGTCCCAATGGTTTCAACTATAGTTGTATTCTTCTGAAATAATGTATGTAAATGACTTCGATTGTTAAGTCCCCAAGAGTCAATAACCTAGTTAATGACCTCAAGATGTCAAGGGAGTGAATAACGAGATGGAAGGGAGATGTCCTATGCTAAATGAGGATGAACCTTAAGATATTAAATTGAGCTTATGTGCCATTGAAATCGACTTATTGATTTACCATCCATGTGCTAATGTAATGAGTTGTGTTTCTCCATGATGAGCATGGACATGAAGTATTCCAATGATATGAGAAATTACGACCGTAAATGTAATGACAAACTACGTCGCTTTGTGTTTATATATGGTATTGTGGTATTGTGATTACACCTCCACCCGCATATATTAGGGTGAGACGGTAGGGCTGCTTTGTGTAGGGATTGTAGTATTGTGATACACCTCCACCCGTATATATTGGGGTGAGGCGGTAGGGCCGCTTTGTGTAGGAATTGTGGTATTGTGATACACCTCCACCCTCATATATTAGGATAAGGCGGTAGGGCCGCTTTGTGTAGGAATTGTGGTATTGTGATACACCTCCACCCTCATATATTAGGATAAGGCGGTAGGGCCGCTTTGTGTAGGAATTGTGGTATTGTGATACACCTCCACCCTCATATATTAGGATAAGGCGGTAGGGCCGCTTTGTGTAGGGATTGTGGTATTGTGATACACCTTCACCCGCATACATTGGGGTGAGGCTGGAGGGCTGCTTTTTGTAGGAATTGTGGTATTGTGATACACCTTCACCCGGATATATTGGGGTGAGGCGGTAGGTCCACTTTGTGTAGGGATTGTGGTATTGTGATACACCTCCACCCGCATATATTGGGATAAGGCGGTAGGGCCGCTTTTTGTAGGGATTGTGGTATTGTGATACACCTCCACCTGCATATATTGGGGTGAGGCGGTAGGGCCAGTTTGTGTAGGGATTGTGGTATTGTGATACACCTCCACCCGCATACATTGGGGTGAGGCGGTAGAGTCGCTTTTTGTTGAGATTGTGGTATCGTGATACACCTCTACCCCCTTATGTTGGGTGAGGCTGCAAGACCGCTTTGTGTGAAGGAGGTTATAGAGGATCCCCAGCTTAATATCTATAAATTTTAATGGCTATCTAAGCCCTTTTACTGTTACCATGTTTCATCATATTCATGCTGTATTTCCAAGCCCTTGAACAGGTGTATTGTGTAATTAAACACTATGAACGGTCTATGAAACACATAGGTGTATAATATGATATGTGAACACTAAGGACGGTCTATGAAATGTATATGTGTAATATAAGGGAGGAAGGTGCCACTGTCATTGGCCTTGTTTGTACATGTTGTTACAATTACATTATATCATATGTTCCACGTATAGTTCATATGTCTCAGTTGACCCTAAAAGAAGTTTAGAATGATGCAAGTATAGTAAGACTTGAAATGTGATTATATGGGATGTTTCGTAGTTTCTGGATGTACTTTATTTGCCTCTTGTTTGAATTACCGTATTTCATATGTTGTTTTGACTGCCTTACATACGAGTACTATGCCACATGTACTCACGTCCCTTTTGATAGGGGTGCTGCATCTTTTAATGGATTCATGTATACTTCTACAGGATGATATGGATCTTTGATAGGGATCTTCTTCACTACTCAGCTTATGGTGAGCCCGCTACAGTTCTAGTGGGTGTTTGGGTCTAGTTCATTTTATGTATTTAGGTATCTATTGTTATAGAAGCTCCATGTACATTGTGGGTCATGTAATTAAAGATTTGAGTTTCGTCATGTATTTATGTTCACAGATATTTATGAAGCTATGTACCCATCACGAGAGAAAAAAAACAAATTTAATGGGCCATTGAGCCAAATGTATTCAATATGAAAGTCAAGATCTAATTATGTTTTGATAAATCATGCATGAGTTATGATGAGAGGTTGATGTAATGTAGGCTTGCTCAACTGGGTTCACTCGCTTGAGCGCCAGTCGCGCTCCCCGAGTTCAGGGCATGCCATTTTCGATGTTGAAACCACATGCATCGGGATTACTTCATCGACAATGAACATTTCCTTTGCGGTCGGCTATTCTCCGTAGATTGTTTTGACTCCTCTCGAAGTGGGAAATTTTAGTGCCTGATGTAAGGTTGAAGGCACCGCCCTCATGTTGTGAACCCATGGCCTTCCAAATAAGGTGTTGTACCTCATATCCCCTTCGATCACATAGAACTTTATTTCTTGGGTGGTCCCGGCAGTGTTTACCGGTAAATTTATCTCACCTTTCGTGGTCTTGCATGCCATGTTGAATCCGTTCAATACCCGGATCGCCGGTACGATTTGATCCTACAACCCAATTGTTCTACAACCCTCGATCTGATGATGTTGGCCGAGCTACCTGAATCAATCAACACAGATGTAACCTGAGATTTATTGATAAGTACAGATATTACCAGTGCATCATTGTGAGGCTGGACGATTCCCTCGGCGTCTTCATCGCTGAACGAGATGGCTCTTTCTGTGTCGTAACCCCAGGTGCATTTTTCTCTCATGATAGAAAATTTGGTGTGCTTTATCATTGGCCCTTGGGAGACATCAACTCCCATAATGATCATGTTGATTACGTGCTAGGATGCCTCTTGTATGACCTGTTTGTTGGCGTCCTTGTTTCTGAAGTAGTTTTTGGCTTGCTCGCTTTGGAGTTCTCGAAGGTGCCCATTGTTGAACAATCGAGCAACTTCTTCTCTTAGCTGTTGACAATCTTCGCTCCTATGACCGCGAGTACCATGGTACTTACACACCAAGCTAGGATCTCTCTTGGCATGGTCAGACTGCAGTGGTCTTCGCCACTTAGTCTCTTTGATGCCTATGGCCGACACTATAATTGCAACATTTACGTTGAAATAATTCTCAGATAATCTCGGTGCCTCCCTACTCCCGAGCATCTTGTCAAACCCGCTCTTGCTCATCAGGCCCCGACTGATTGGTCCTTGATCATTTCTCTTGTCGTTTCTTATCGGGTGACGCTCGAATCTATTTTCTCTCTGATCTATGCCGTATGGCTGGTATCGATCTCGGACCGGCCTCAGCTCCTAATATATGATTTTGTTAGACCTTTCATCGATTCTGATGGGGTAAACAGACCCCGATCGAGCCCTAAGTTAGTCGTCCTCGACCCTGATCTTCGATTGATACTTGTTGTGGACATCTGCCCAGGTGACCGCCAGGTACTCCACCAAATTTTGCTTTAGCTGTTGAGAAGCCACGGAACGTCGGGGGTTGAGCCCTTGAGTAAATGCCTGAACGGCCCAATCATCCACGATTGGTAGCAGATCCATCCGTAGCATCTGGAACCTTAACACGAACTCCTTAAGGATCTCGTTATCCATCTGCTTGACCTTGAAAAGGTCTGACTTCCTCATCTTAACCTTGATGGGACCGGCATGGGCCTTTACGAAAGCATCTGCCAGCATAGCAAACGAGTCAATAGAATTTGGAGGCAAAGTATGATACTATATCATTGGTCCCTTGGACAAGGTTTCCCCAAATATTTTCAGCAACACTGACTCTATTTCGTTGTCTTTCAAGTCATTCCCTTTCATTGCGCATGTATAGGAGGTTACATGATCATTTGGATCCGTGCTCCCATTATACTTGGAAATGTCGGGCATTCGAAGCCTCTTCGGGATCGACTTAGGTGCCGCGCTCGGGGGAAAAGGTTTCTGAATGAACTTTTTGGAATCCGACTCCTTCAATATCGGTGGCGCTCCCGGGATCTGATTGACCTTGGAGTTATACGTTTCCACCTTCTTGTCATTGGCCTTTATCTATTTTATCGCCAGACCCTACCCATTTTGTTAATGCTTCGAGCAGCTTCATCACCTCGGAAATTTTCCCGGGCCCGAACTCATCTGGTTCCACGGTGAATTGTTCATCCCTTTAAGCATTTTTCAGGGACTGCTCGGGCTCAAACCTGTTAGAGGCGTGGCTCTGGTTCTGTAACTGCGTTATCGCCGCTTGCTGAGCCTGCAACATTTCAAAAATTAGTCGTAGGCTCAACCCATCACCTTCACTTTCGGGCGCCTCCCGAGCCGCTAGTCGGGGTCCCCCGCGAACGTTGTTTTCGGGATTAGTCGGTAGATTAATATTGATGGTAACTTGTGAGTTAGCATCGACCGGGTCAGCGGCTGGGATACCATTGGGATCAACAGGGGGCACATCATTGCTAGGTATCACGTTATTGTTCGCGTTGTGATGACCTGACTCAACGTCAATGTTCAAGTAAGCAGACTGAGGATTTGACATCCTTAGGTAAACGTGGAATCAAAACTTCAAAGAACAAGCGTAAAACAGTGTGTGTTATATAAATTCGTATCGAATCACCACTATTATCCTTAGCCTCATGGTGGGCGCCAAACTGTTTACCTTAAAAAATGAGTAACAATTAAATTTGTATGCGGTTAGAGAATATATGATTTAATTTAATACGAATGATCTAGGAACAACAAGCAATAAAGTTAAAGGAAAAAAATGAACGATCAAACCAATTGTAATGTGGTGATCAAGCCTTATCTTAAGTTGAACACTGAAGTACAGTCTGGATTGGACCTTCGATATAAGCTCGGTTGCGATTAAAGAAGAGAATAACTAAATAACACTTTGAATAGTAGCTAGAAGACAAAAATAAACTTTTATATTGCTTTGATTCACGTGTCAACAGCGTGTCAAAATAAAAGAAACTTTTCCCTTTATATAGTAGGGGAGTTTCAGTCCTAGTACAAGTCTAAATAAGGTAAAAATCTTCTTTTTTCGGTAAATGCCGATACACAGTTGATATCGGACGGGATTCGCGCCGTAATATCCAGTTGAGGGCGAATATTACGGCTCCCCACTTGTCATGCATAACCGTTCCCCCTTTTCCCGTGGTCTAGAAATTTTACTTGGTCTGGGTCCGTTATTTTGCCGTGCCCGATCTCAAATACATCGTTCACTCTTCCCGGGTCCCAATACGAGGGGTCCTTCGGCCTTGCTTGTAGTCGCGTCGAACCGTGCTTCCCTCTTGTTTCCTTATTGGGGAATCGGGAAAAACTTTGCCTCCGATTTTACCCGTACACAATATGTAATTAAACATTTTCCCCCGTTTCATGTGTACCTATTATACAAGTCATATAAGCAAGTAAAATTCAACACCATTCACCATATGTTAACGGGAATCTACCCCACCTCCCCTACCAAAAACAATGTTAGGGTAACATTATGTAACCGCATTTTTTTAATTTACACGTGGATTCTAGTTCAATATACAACTGCAACAAAGAGCTTAATAAAGGTTGGTTTCGCACCTAATGTAAAATATGAAGGCAACAGATAGAATATTCCAACTTCCAAGACCTTTACAAACCGAATTGAAAGCTCTTACATAACTTATATGAGAAAAATATAACTTAACATGGATGATAGATTGTTAATAATTGTATTTGAAAAATAATTCTGGAAACAGAAATAACGAAAAATAGAAATGTAGAAGAAACAAAATTGGATATATCCATTTCTTAAGCTGTAATATATTCACATAATACTGAAAAAATGACCTAAATATAATGCGTGGACAATATTAGTTCTAAATAAAATTAAAATAGAAAAAGATGAGGATTCACAAATTAGCCCGATATTTGAGTGGAAAGTGGATAAAAAGAAGTACATATGTTCTTTGGTTTCGGAATCTAGGCTGCAACGCAAACTCGTGGTTTGTGATTCATGAATTCCGAAACTTTTCTTGCATTATCAATGGCCTTTATTCGATTTCAAGAAATATTCTGTTCACTATCAAATAGTAGGTATGAAGAAGAATACTAGCATTGCATGCGTTTCAATTTCAGTGATCTTCACTTTTATTAATTAAAATTTATCGCGAAGCTAGCACGGGCTAGCCAGTTTTCGGACTGGTAATTGAAAAATAGCCAGCGTTTGCAAAGTCATTAAAAATAACCATTAATTTGCTGAAACACAGAAAGTTCCAACATAATATACTGGATTATGTAGTTCTTGCATATAAACTCCCAGCATATTATGTTGGAACTCCAGCACATTATAAAATTCCAGCACATTATGTTGGAATCTCATATGTAAAAAATTCGAACTCTAGCATATTTTGCTGAAATATTTCCGGATTTTTAAGGATTTTTTTGTTAAGATTTTATCTTTACATGAACAAGTGGCTAAGTTTGTCACGACCCGAAATTCTTACCTTCGGGACCGTGATGGCGCCTAACATTTCATTTGCTAGGTAAGCCAACGTTAGAATAATTTAAACCACTTGTAACAATCCATTTTAATTAATTAATAAAGAAACCAAACAACTAAAAAAAATATTTAAATTAAAGTGAACAATCCAAAATAATAACGATGTCTAAATACCAACCCAGAACTGGAGTCACAAGTGCACGACCTTCTAGAATTATAAAAACAAGAGTCTGAATAGAAATAAAGTTGCTTGAAAAAAAGCACACACTAAAATAAAGTAGAAGGGGACTTCAGAGCTGCAAACGCCGTGCAGCTATACCTCAAGTCTCCACTGATAGCCGAATCCGAGCAAAATCTACAGTACGCCACTGGGACCAACTCCGAAATCTGCACAAGAAGTGCAGAGTGTAGTATGACTACAACCGACCCCATGTACTCTATAAGTGCCGAGCCTAACCTCGACGAAATAGTGACGAGGCTAAGGCATGTCATTTACATTAACTTGTACGCAATAATAATAATAATAATAATAATAATAATAATAATAATAATAATAATAATAATAATAATAATAATAATAATAATAATTATAATAACAGAAATAGACGTAAGAAAGGTAAATCATATCAATAATTGAATTATTTCAGCAGTCACAACCAATTATTTTTTTTCTCATTCTGTTGCGGCGAGCAACCCGTTCCCCCAATATAATCCTTCAATTAAATTCCGTTGCGACATGCAACCCGCTCCAACAATATAAACTTAAAATATAATCCATTGCGGCGTGCACCCCGATCTCCCAATATATTTATTTTCATCTCCGTTGTGGCGTGCAATCCGCTCCAACAGTATAATTTAACAACTCTTAAATATAATAAAGATACTCCAATAAATACAACATTCCATAAGAAATTATTAGGCAACATATTGTAACGATCCGGTCGGTAATTTTGAGTATTACAGTCTCGTTCTCCTATTTACTGCTCAATTTATACTTTACACTCATTTTAAGACTTACCGGGTTAGTTGGTTCGGGTCCGGAGGGAATTCGGAGTGAAATGAGACACTTAGTCTCATAATTGAAACTTTTACGTTAGAAAAGTTGAATGATGTGGATTTATGTGTAAACGACCTCGGATTTGAATTTTTATGATTCCAATAGCTCTGTATGGTGATTTTGGACTTAGGAGCATGTTCGAAAAATTATTTGGAGGTCCGTAGTGGAATTTCGCTTGAAATGCCAAAAGTTGAATTTTTGGGAAGTTTGACCGGGGGTTGACTTTTTGATACCGGGGTAGGAATCCGATTCTGAAAATTTGAATACCTCCGTTACGTAATTTATGACTTGTGTACAAAATTTAAGGTCAATCGGACATAATTTGATAGGTTCCGGCGTCGTTTGTAGAAATTAAAAATTTCAAAGTTCATTAGGCTTGAATTGGGGTGTAATTCGTTGATTTATCACTGTTCGAGGTAATTTGAGGGATTGACTAAGTTCGTATGATGTTTTAGGACTTGGTGATATATTTGGTTAAGGTCCCGGGGGCCTTGGGTGAGTTCTGGGACGGTTTCGGATCATTTTTCCTTGTAATGCAACTGCTGGAACTGATATCTGGTATTGTTCTTCGCGAACACAAAGAGTCTCACGCGTTCGCGAAGAAGAATTTTAGACGGCTGAGATTTGCCCATCGCGAACGCGATGAAGAAGACGCGAACGCGAAAAAGGGAGCTGGGGAAAGCCTATGTGAAAGCGAGTGGTCAGACGCGAACGCGAAGAAGGGAGCTGGGGAAAGCCTACGCGAACGCAAGTGGGCAGATGCGAACGCAAAGATGAAAGGGAGTTGGGGGCCTGCCTGGCGTTAAGCCTTCACGAACGCGGCTTGTGTCTCGCGAACCGAAGGGTAGAGGTCGGAAGGCATCGCGAACGCGAAGAAGGAATCTTGGCAGCACAGTTTTTGTGCTTCGCGAACGCGAAGCTATGGTCGCAAACGCGATGAAGGAATTTCTAGGCAGAATTAAAAGTTCCAAAACGGGGATTTTGAGTTCATAACACAAAATCAAATTGGGAGCTCGGTAGAAGGCAATTTTTGGAGAGATTTTTGCGTCGGTGTTTGGGGTAAGTGATTCTTATCCTGTTTTGATTAATTTCCATAATTATGTCTTTGAATCTGTCATTTAATGGGTGAATTAAGTTGAAAAATATAGAAAACCCTCTTGGTTTAAATTGAAG